AGAAAGTCGTGGCCCAGCAGGGGTAGCTTGATTTCCAAGATTTTCAAAGCTGACAGATTCAGATCAGAGCAAAGGAAAAAAAAAAAAGCCATCTCGACTCGTGCTCCTGCAACACGAGAGAGGTGGAGGCGAGTGGTAGCAGCCGAAGGAGAATAATCTACGAGCAGCCATGTCACGTCTCTGCAAAGAGGCTTCCAGCTGGGACCCAAGACATGTTGGACCGATACGACCTCAGACTGTAGAAAAACGGTGAGCCGTGGACTGAACGGTTGACAGTCAGACACAGGTCCCTTGGTGAGCCGGAGGAAGGGCTTTTCGGTTCTTTAAAGCTTGAGACTTGTCTTTAAAATCTGAGGGTTTCTGCTGGGAAACGTCGATCAGAGCGCTGGCGACAATGAGCCCTGGGAGAGAGGGAAAGAGTTAGCAGGTCGTTCTTTTTGGACAAAACAGAACAATCCAAACAAACAAATACTGGATGATGCCAAGTTGTGGCATTTCTAATGTAAACAATTAGCTTTCCCTCATGCAGGAACACAAAACGTGCTCTTAAGATTCACATTATTCAAACGTACAATGCAAACTCTTCTTTAAGCTAAATACCTGAGTCCAGGCAGAGACACGGGATAATAAATATAAAATAATTACATCATCTTTACATCTAACTTCAATCTAACTTTGTGTTATTTTACTCATTCATGCATCAAAACATTCTTCAGCTCATTCAGGAGACAGATGCTGTCTCTGATGTGACTTTTTGGTTTTTTTTGTAACTTTCAGACTTCAGCATACTTGCTGTCTATTTGCCATCTTAAAGTGCCGGTGACATCAAATGTTTTGTAAGACATATGGAGGCATTTTTAGAAAGAGGACATTGATAAAATATTGTAAAAGAAATTTCATGCCGCTGAGATGAACAGTTGTTGAGATATTTGCCTGTGAAGGAACAGGAAGTGATGTCAAAGGGGAATGTCTGCATGTGAACAGAGCAGTACTACAACAGCTAACAAACTACACTGTAGAGAAGAATCTGATGTCTCTTAAGATTATTTTGAGTCACTATCAGAGAGAAATGAAAAAGAGTCAGAATTCAAATAATATTGTTTCAATAAACAAAGAGCTCCCCTTTGATGTCACTTCCTGTTTCACTTTGGCTGGGCCAAGTTCAAAAGAAAATATGCCAGTCATGGGGCAAAATGTGTTCAATCGTGTGTATTATTCCAACTTTCTTAAATATAAATATGTTTGCTTTGACATTTTGTATTTGAATATGCATGTCACAGGCACTTTAAGCCAGTGTTTCCCAAACTTTTTATCTTCTGACCCACAAAATATTCATGGCAAAAACTTGTGACCCCAAATATTACTGGTCTGAGTACATGAACTTCATTAATAACCCCAAAAACACAGGCTTTTGACAATATAAACAGTTTGTACACAAATATAAAT